AAAAAAAAAAAAAATGGGCGATAGGCACTTTAAAGAGAAAAGAGATCTTAATGAGAAAATGGGCTCAAGCAAGAGACAATGAATTTAAGTACTTTGAGCCTGAGAACAAGGAGTTTGTATCGATACCACCAATAACGGAGATCGATATCCCACAGATAACCTTATTGCTGTCGAAATTTGAAATGGAGGCCAGAAAAAAAGATGGCACCGAATACCGCCATGAAGTGTTATACACTCTGTTCTGTGGCTTAAATCGGATAGTGGGAGAGAAGAACCCAAACCTGAATTTATTTCGTTCCCCCGAGCTTTAGCCTTTCCAAAAAGCATTGGATGGTCGGCTGAAAGAACTACAGTCAAAGCAGCAGCCTTTCCAAAAGCAAGCAAATGCCATATCTGTCATGGAGGAGGAAGATATGTGTAAGAAAGGTGTACTTGGAACACATTCTCCAGATGTTGTAATCAACGCATTAATGTTGCTCTCAGGAAAATTATTTATCTTGAGAGGTGGACGAGAACAACGTGATTTATCTCATGATCAGTTTATCTTTGAAGAACAGCAGGACGGCTCAATGATGGTAATCTTTAAAGAAAAAGTGTCAAAGACCAACCAAGGCGGCCTTAAAAGAAGAAAGGTAGCAAGAAAGGAAGTGAAACATCTAGAGGATCCATCAAAGGAAAGATCATTCACATTTATCTACAATTTCTATGTGAGTAAATGGTGAGTATTTATCGATCTATGATTAAATGGTAATAGGAATATATTATACAATTGCACATAATATATATTATATTATTTTGCAGCCCAGAGAATATTCCAGTGCCAGCCTTTTATCTACGTCCAAACGCTAAGTGGAGCTACGGCAGCGAGGTATGGTTTGAAAAAAGTCCCATGGGCCACAATACAATTAGCAAGCGGTTCAAGAAGATGTGTAAAGATGCTAGGCTAGAAGGAAATCTTTTCAAATCATTCTGGGCGTGCGACTGGCATTACAAGAATGTACAAAGTTGGCCTACCAGAAAAGCTAATAATGCAAAGAAGTGGCCACCGGTCCGTCGAAGGTGTAAGAACATACCAGCGAGAAGATCCAAATGATATTATATCGTATCCAATTCACTTATTACAGCAGCTACAGATGAATGCAGCTCCCAAGAAAATGTGCAGACCAAGGATCAGATCGATGATGATATCTTGCTCGTGGAAGCTTGTAAAGAGGTGGAAAAAATCGAAGCGACAGCAATTAATTTGGGTGGCATTAATGTGCAAGGAGCGAATTTAACCAATTTTAGCATAAACATTAAAGTAACGTTCAATTGGAAAAATTAAACATTTATTATTACAATCAGTTCTAAACAAGACGTGTGTAAAATCAATAAAGTGGTTGAACCTCAGACGACATCGAGAGATTCCTGACAGAGTTCGACGACGTATTCCAAGGGATCGGATGCTTCAAAGAGAAAGATACGGGAGAGAGCATGCAGGTCAAGCTTGAGATGGACCCAGACGCGACACCCATAAACGCGACAACCAACAAAGAGAGGTTGAAGCATGTATTTGCGACATACGGGACACCAAGGAGGATAGAAAGCGACAATGGACCACCATTCAACTCAAGAGACTTTGAAGACTTCGCAAGGAAAGAAAGAATTTCAACATCACAAGGTAACACCATTACACCCTAGAGCGAACGGAGAAGCTGAAAGGTCAATGCAGATGCTGAATAAAACAGAACAAATAGCGCACCTACAAGTCAAAGATAAACTAGAAAGTCAGAACGCAATTCAAAGCTTGGATGGACCCTCTCTGGACCTGTGAACTCTAACAGGCAAATAAAGGGAAATGGAACTACAAACCTGTTATCTACTCATATACTCAGAAAAGATGCAAGTTCCTTAATCGAAAGTGACGCAGTATTGGAAACACCCCCTTGTCCACAGTTTTGGGACGTTGAAATGGTTGGTACGTGTATGTTAAAAGGAAGCAATCCAAGTTTCAAGCAACCTATCCAAGATATTGAAATCATGGATGGAATCTATCAAGTGAAGTTACCGTCCATAGAGGGACACTTTATGATCCCTGACAATCACAGCACATCAGTTAAACGTCTACATTCATTGATTACACGACTTCGTAAGGAACCAGAAACTTTGAAACAATATGATGAAGTAATCAAGGATCAAATTGAGAAAGGAGTGGTAGAAAGAGTTACAGACACGAATGACGGAGAAAAAGTAGGGCACGTTCACTACCTACCCAATCGAGAAGTAATGCGATCAGATCGATCCACTACAAAACTTCGTGTTGTCTATGATGCTTCTAGCAAAGGAACCAAAAATGTTGGTCCAAGTCTCAATGACTGTCTTTATACTGGCCAAAGTCTTACACCACTGTTATTTGACATCCTTCTCAGATTTAGAACACATAGACTAGCAATCACTGCAGACATCGAAAAGGCCTTCCTGAACATCAGCATTTCTCCAGAACACAGAATTCAGATTCTTGTGGGTGAATAACATAGAAGATGAAGATACAGCAATTGAAGTTTTTCGTTTTACTCGTTTGGTGTTTGGACTTACATCAAGCCCTGACATCTTGAATGCTACTATACGTCACCATTTGGATTAGTATGCTCAACAGGATCCAGGATTTGTAAAGGAAGTTGTCAAATCCTTGTACGTTGATGATTATACATCATGATTATACATCATGATGATCTCAAATCTGCATCTGAACTAGCCCTCAAGGTAAAACAGAGAATGCTGGAAGGAGGATTCAACATGAGGAAGTTCACAAGTAATTCTACAGAACTGATTCAAGAGCTTCAGCACATTGAACTGTTTAGCAAGAGTTTAAATCCTACAGACACTAACACTGAATGCCAAATGTTAGGACTGACTTGGAACACTGACAAGGATRAAATCGTTATGAAAGTCGATAAAGTGACTGAAGACTTATTGGATTCAACTCAGRTCACAAAAAGGATCATCTTGAGTACAGTTGCAAAATTCTATGATCCTTTAGGAATTGTATCACCTGTTGTTCTTTTACTGAAGATTCTATTCCAAGAGGTCTGTAAGAGACAATTCAATTGGGATGAACCACTTCCCAAGGATATGGTTAGGAACTTTAATTTGATTATTTCTGACTTGAACAAGTCACAAGCAGTTAAGCTCAGCAGATGTTATGTAGATCCTACCATGTCAAAGAAGGAAATAATATCTGCACAGTTACATGCATTTGGAGATGCATCAAAAAGAGCTTATGGATCTACTGTCTATCTACGAATCGAGTATCCTTATGGAGTTCATTGTAGTCTTATTGCTTCTAAAACAAGAGTTGCTCCTATGAATGAACAAACCATTCCACGATTAGAACTCCAAGCTAGTCTTGTAACAGCTCGATTAGCAGATCAGATTAAGAAATYATTGGAAAGTGTATTRCCTATTGATGWACTTGAGTTATGGTCAGACTCCGCGGTTGTATTACACTGGATAAAGAACGGAGCAAAGAAACAGAAACAGTATGTACAAAACAGAATCAAGGAGATTAGACAATTGACACGAGCTGAATGGTGGAGATATTGTCCAACACAAGATAATCCAGCAGACCTTGCCTTCGGAGGATTGGAATCGATTTTGCTGGGCCGGTATACGTTAAGGACATCTATGCTGGTGGACAATTGAATAAAGCGTACATAGTGTTATACACTTGTGCATCAAGTAGAGCTATTCATTTGGATTTGGTACCTGATTTGAGCGCAGAATCATTGATAAGAAGTCTCCAGAGATTCATCGGAAGACGTGGAACACCAATATTCATTTTATCAGACAATGGCAAGACATTTAAGGACAGAAAACTCAAAAAGTTTGTGTGTGAAAAGAATATCGAATGGAAGTACAATGTCGAGCGAGCCCCATGGTGGGGAGGTTTCTTCAAGCGATTAGTACAATCAGTCAAGAGACCCTTGAGGAAACAATTTCATCGTGAAAAACTTAATTACGAAGAGTTTCTCACAACGTTGATAGAAATTGAAGGAGTTCTGAATTCAAGACCCCTTACTTATGTTTATGACGAGATCGACGAAGTCTTAGCACCATCACACCTGGTCATAGGAAGACGTCTTATGTCACAATCAGACAAGTCACACGTAATCACTGACGATAGAGTGGTCGATGGACCAAAGGATCTCAACAAAAGAAGTTTATATTTAAAGAAACAAACATGCCATGCTTATTGACTTTGGGAAGGCCAAGACTATAAATGTAATAAAGACAGGTGAGTACATCCTCTCTTTTGAAAGTTTTTTCCACTTAGGATTATTAACCATATTACTCCAATTTTTAATTTGTAGTTCATTTTTAGTATTCTTTGAAAGACTGTATTCTTTGAAAGTATTCTTTGAAAGAATGATATTTTGTTAYCTTACAACACACATAGTTGTTCCATGATTATAAGTTTATTAGTTTTCATTAAGAGTCAGTATACTAGTCAAATGACAACAAAAGAACACAATGGTATTA